CAACATGCGAAAAGAAAAAAAAAAGGCATGAGAAAAACATTGCTTTACAAACCTTAAGACTTAATGACAAAAAATTTTATATTTTGCGTATGAAAGCATTTTAATATTTACTGATAATCTGCCAAATTTTGTTAACATACGCTTATTAATTTAAATGTTATAGCATGAAAACTATAACAAGTACAAAATGGTTACGAGGTCAGTCCAGGGATCGAGCCTGTACTGAAAGAGTTAATTGAAGTCAGGAACTGAAGTATATGGTCTTCATTTTTTATTGTAAATTTAATGTCAGGATGAATCAGGTTCAGGTGTGAAAAGAACTATTTGATGGGTGAATAATCATGGAATTTTATATTTCTTTAGCAGGCTTATGTAGAAAAATAGACTTTGCTCTTTTCTTTTAAAATTATTTCTGGACTTTAAGGGCTGTTCATAAAATTTCTATGGGGTTTTGATCCATTTTACTTTACCGTATAATAATTAAATTAATTTAGGTGTGAATAATGTTATGACATTTGGTCAAATTCATTATCCAGTATTATACAGCAGACCAACCGTTTAATGATTGTGTATGTATGTATGTGTGTGTGTATGTATATATAAATAAATATATATATATATATATATGTGTGTGTATGTGTGTGTTAAAGATTTCTGTTTCACCAGAGGTGAAATTGAAAAAAGACTGATGTAGAGGCCTAATGCACACATACACATATAACTTCACCATTTCAAGATACCTAATGGTATTTCTCTGGTTTGCAATCAATGTATGCATTAGGCCTGTACATTACAAATTCTCTTTTCAATTTTACGACTGTTGGAGAAGAAAAGAAATATTTAACGTGTGTGTGTGTGTTTATATATATATATATACATTCATAAAATTGTTTTTAATTAATGTAAAAACTGCAGAAGAAATACTTTGGTTCTTTAAAGGAATGGAAGTCAAAGCTGTTGATTCATATGTTATTTTAAAATAGGGAATCAGTTGTATATGAAATTACTCAATTCACTGCAAGCATCTTAGCTTGTAAACAATAGAATACTTCAGTTAATTATTTTAAAACTAGATGTAACTGTAATTGACAATATGCAAGTCAGATAAAATGTTGTTCTTTACACATAAGTACACCGTATATTGATAGTTCTATAATTTTGTTTTATAATCTTGTGTATTAAAAGTAATATTCTTTCCATACAAAGTAAGAAAGATGGTTTTTCTTGTTTAAGAAATAATGATAATTAATATTGAACATATTTACTATGCACCTGAAATGCAAAATAGTTTTTCAGTTTAGTGTTTATTTTCTTTTAACTACTTTATACAGGCCTTTATTTGTTGTGTTTAAAATCATAGGATGTAAAAATTGTGATATGAAAATAACCACTTAAAAGCATCATATTTCATTTAAATCTTTGTAAACATTAACATTTCAGCTATAGTTGGAAAAAACATCATAAGGTAACCAATTGTGGATTGCTGTACAAATTAATATTAGCAATGACTTGCTCTGATATAGGTTAAGACAGTACAAGGTCATATATGAATTATTAATGAATTAATAATAGTATTCAGAATATTGTTTAATTTTGAAGTCTACTATTATGCGGCTATATAATGTGAAGAATGAATATTGAACAGTGACACTTTTTCTTCACTTCTCCTATCCAGTGTATAGGTTTTTCTCATAGTGACTATAAAGCATGTTCACACCAACAATATGTTTGATACTTTTCACTATGATATAGGTCCAGCTTGTCTCTCTTTGTCTCTAGTGTTCCTGGTTATTGATGAGGAGTGGAATTCTCTGAAACTGGTATAACCCAATAACACATGTTGATCAAAGTGTAAATTGAACTGGATCTCCTTTGAACTTAGACTTCAAGATCAAACAGTTTTCTGAATACTAAGTTTATTTATTATCTTTGATATTGTGCAGCTATGTAATGTGAAGAACAGAATAGTGACCAATGATACTTTTTCTTCACCTATTCAGTTATTGGTTTTTCTCCTAGTGACTACAAAGCACGTTCACACCAACAGTATGTTTGATCATGTATGTATTTCAAAAATTCTGTGTAGGTGTTAGAGTAGATTGATATGGTTTAATATTTTGTTGTTCCACCCATCATTAAATTCTTTCATAAAGAGACATTTGAGGCTGTCTTATTCACAACCTTTCAATTATGAATGAAAGGTTAGTCCTGGTTTGTTTGAGTTAGAAAACACCATTTATTAACTGAATTTATGATAATGTATAGTTATCTATATCATGATATAATACTGAATTTTACTGTAAAAATTATTTATTTTTAATATAATACTGTGGATATTTATGAAAATAATTAATTCTTTGAATTGATGATGCATTTAGATGATTCCTGGCACCTTGATGAGCGAGATGCATATAAGCACATGTTTAAAAAAAGTCAACAGTATCGTTACCACAATCACCTGATGCGAGTGACATGTAACAATTGTCAAGAGCAAGGCCATCTGTCTAAAGTCTGTACTAAGCCTAGGGTAGGTGTAATCATTAGAATACACTTTCATGCAAGTTTGTTATGGTTTTTATATTATTGTGAAGTTGTTTTCATTTTACCTGTTAAGCCTGTTATTCAGTTATATTTTGGCTTACATAATTTTAAGGTACTGTGAAATAACTTTGACCAATTATTTTTGTTAAAGTGATGTCAGACATTTAATATTTAAGGCATAATTATATCTGTTAAGATTGAATTACAGAGTTAATTTCAAAACTGCCTATTATTTTTTAATGAATCTTGCATTGCAAAAAATATTTACTGATTAAATATCATAAAAGGATTATGACCCAGTTAAGTAAAGGTGTTTCAAAATATGAACATTATTTGGGAGAGAAATAGAAATTAAGTAAATTCTTTTCATGTCTCAGTTTGATTGTTTTATTTACAACAGAATGACATATTCTTAATAACTTAGTATTTATTTCTGTGGGTTTCCTCTTGTATGGAAAATTTATTTTGACCTGTTATATTTAGGTTTCTACTTTTAAAAAAAAAACAACAAAATTTTGTATACATATATTTTTTTCTTTGTACAGTTTAGCTGCAAGACATAATAACTTATCTCTGAACTTGGCTTATTGTTGGAAACACATTGAAAACACTTTTTGGTGGTGTGAATACTAAGATAATGACATATATTTAAGTTATCTTAGTAATATTCTGTAAGACCAGCAAGAAAAATCCATTTAAATCAAAAGCAATGAACTGGCATTTTAAGGTAGGTCATATATACATATACACACACACAAAGTTCATTACCCCCCATTAGATGCAGGACAGAAAATTTAGGCTGCCCAAGCAGGACACTCGCAAGTAGTACAAGAATGCATTGATACAAGAATGTTTTTCTCCTACTGACATGCTAATTACCAATGTAGCCACATTCAATAGAGGAATACTTGGAGCACCAAAAACACAGATGCAGGCATAGTCAGCAAACATACCTTTCTTTATGTTCAAGTAATAATTGAAATTCAACAAGAGTAAACCCCTTGTGTTCAGTGAGCCTTGACTTTGCTCTCATAATTATTTGAAAACAACTGTTAATTATTATTATTATGTGTAAGCTCTGATAGTAATGTGACTGTTATATAGTATATGTCAAGAATTGTTATCTGGAAAAGTTCTAAAGCTTAAGCTACTGATACCAAATTAACTTAGTTTGGTTTGATTCTGAACAAACTATAATTTAGTACTCTATCTGTCACTAAAAAAAAATTGAAAAAAGGAAAAGAAATAGCTATTTCTAATATTACATAAATCTTGGATTATTAAAACTATTTTGTTGTTTAAGACTTGTGATGTAGTTGAATGAAAAACATGCATTGACATTCACAGAGCTAAATTTTTTGTTTTATTGCTAATTGTGGCTCGAGCTGGACTGTTTAATCAATTACTTATGAGCAAGCGTCATGTAAGCTAGTCAATTAACCAATATTATGATTAAATTGGTTATCACAAGAATAATGAATTCATTAAAATTAGAGTTTCATATTATTACTATTTTTATTTATACCAACTATCCAAGTAAGTTAAATATTTCCATCAAATTTGTTTGCCCTGCTTTTTGTATGAAAAAAGCTACTAAGGCTATCTGGCACTGTTACAAATTTTTAACTGCTGACTAGAAGGAAAACTACTCTCTGATAGCACCTGCCACCAGTCCATTTTTTTTGCACTTGTATGTATCTTGGTTTTGAGGAACATTGTGGTTATTGATTAGTGGGATTGTCAATTAATCAATTAGCAAATACCAATAATCACCTGGCTCTAATTGTGGCTATCGTATCAGTCTTCGCTGAGCAAGCAAAGTGAACAAGGCTCGAGTAAGAGGGCCAGAAGCTCTCGATAAATAACATAATTTTGTAATAAATGTCATATTCAGTTCCCAACATATGCATTGATAAATAAGTTGAAACTTGCAATAAAACACTAAATTTAAGGTAGTGAATGTCCATATTCAGCTTCTAGATGAAGGTTCTGATAAAAAGGCTCAACCTGACAGTAAAGAACAAGTAGTAAATGTCAATGTTATTTATTTAATCAAAACTTGAAGCAATATGTATCACATTCTTTAAAATCAAGCAGCACACCTTAGCCAAACCATTATTTTCTTTATTACTTTTGGATAGGTGACATGAAAGACATACAGTTATAGTATTTTATTGATGTTTTCTTTAAAAATGCATGACATCTAATTGCGTTTAAACAGAGAATTTGTGTACAATTTAATCAAGTGAATATGCTTAATATACTATACACAAAGATTCTATTTCTGTTTTGTTATTGTTCTTAATCTGTCAGCAACAAGAACTAATGAATATGAGCATTTTCTGTTTTGATCCAGAACATTTTATGCAAATATTGGCTAATCATCTAGGTTCAGGTATACACATTCCTAATTTTGAATTAATGTCTAGAGGAGGGGAGCAACCATTGAGTAGCACTTGCTGTCTCTAATGACATGAATCTCAATTTTATAATGCACCCACAGTGTGAAAGTGTGTTCAGCAGTCACATATGAAAGCATAAAGCTTAGATCGTTAGTTTTAAAATAACTTCTTGTCTGCATAAAATTAAATAACTGTTGTTTCATTACATTACTCTGTAATAATTGTAATACATGATTAAATTGTTTCAGGTATTTTCTATATTTTCTTTGCCGTCCCAGGTGTTTCTGTACAAATATATGTAATATATAACTGTGTGAAAGGTTGTTTCAACAGTTTTTTGCATTTCAGTCCAGGTATAATCTAGTAGTCAGTGTGTCTGACTGTGAATCAGATAAAAAAAAACAAACAAAATTCATAATAAAAAAAACAATTGTCAGTTATATATTACAAAAATTTATACTGAAACACCTGGGACAGCAAAGAAAATGATGAAAATACCTAAATACAATTGAATCACGTATTACAATTATTAGAGTAATGTAATGAAACAACAGTTATTTAATTTTATGCAGACAAGAAGTTATTTTTTAAAACAAACAAAATTCATAATCAAAATAAAAATTGCCACTGGAATAAGGAAATCAAATATTTTTTAGGTTGATAAACTATGAAAATGTAACAAACTAATGTGAGAAAGTTTGAAATAAAGAACAAAACGATTTGGGGTATTCATTAAACTGCAATATTTGCTCCAATAAACTATATATGTTGGCGTTCTTTAATCTTACATATAGTCTTTTTAGGTTTTATTTATAATTATTTTGAAAATGAATTTATGATTTTGTTTTTTTTTTAATTTGTTAAGACTTACCCTTTTCAGAAGAGATAAACCAAGTGTGTAGCCTCATACATTAGGAACTGTTCAGTTCTCTAATGAAAATATTTGTGGGAAATAAAATGAACTTTCTGATAACATACAAAGTGCTTAATTCTGGACTGAAGATAAATGCATTGGTAATGGATTTTAAATAGAAGCAGCTGCTCTAATGGAAATGCCTTTGATGTGTGGAAGCAGTTAACACAACTTGATCAGAAAGTTACAAATGAGATGACATAAGATAGTTAAAAATTCGTTTGAATAGGTTTTGACATTGCCATTTCTATTTTGTGGCATTATGTATACATATATAAGACAGATTTTCAATTTGAACTTTCTGTTTCATATTTAACTTATATCAACATATGAGAAGTTTGAAGGAAATAGCAGTGCAAATACAAAAAGCCATGTTTATTGATATTGTTTCTTGTGCTGTAAGCGCTCTCCAGTCTAAATTGTTACTATTCTGAACTTTTATCATCTAGATCAGTGGTTTTCAAATTGTGGGTTGCAAGTGTCTTTCAAGGGTGTCATGAGTATTTGTATACTTTAAAAATGTATACTTAGCTTTTGATTTCCAAAGTATTAGTTTTGATGATACTGCAGAGTAATACATGTTTTATTTATCAATATTAACAATTTTGCAAAAGCACAGGGCAGTGGAGTTGTCACAGTGCAGTGAAGTTTGAAAACCACTGATCCAGACAAAAAAAAAGTAACCTTAAGTAACCAGATATTAAAAAGTCTAGAAAGCTAGTTTTTATTTTCAAGGTTTTGACTAAAAGGCCATCAACCGGTGAAAGATTAGAAGCTTAGCTGATAATGATGTATTAGGCTAACTTATTGTAGGAGATACAATAGACTGCATTAATAATATGATCATAATACATCATAGATTAATGGTACTTTTTACCTATTTGGCAAGTGGATTAAACTATCTTCTGAACTGAAATATAATCCAAATGTTATTGCTGTCAAATCATGGAAGTATTGAAATTTGTTTTTCTTCACTAGAAATTGGTTACCTGTTTTTTATGTGGACAAATTGGTCACTTGGGAGATAATTGTCGAGATGTGGCATGCACTAGGTGTTTAGCAGTTGGTCATCAAGTAGCAAGGTGTATGTGGAGAGTGCAGGATGTTAGAAGAAAATGCCCAATTTGTTCAATGCGTGGACATTTGAGAAATGTAAGTATAATTGGGAAAATATTGGTTATTAAGAATAATAAATCAAACTTGAACTGCATTTATTGCTTATATATTTTGGAGTTAAAAAAAGAAATAAAAGACATTAGTGTTATTAAAATGTATCTTGTCATTTAAATTTTATTTTTGGATGACTGAGAAGTATTTAAAAAAATATTTAGGCAGGTTCAGAGTATCACTAAGCATGATAGTGCTTAGTGTGTAGGAATGGGCTGACAAACAAATGGCTGCTCATTCAATCTATTACTCTATGATGCTTACAAGTAACTGCTAAAGTTCAGTTATAGCCTTATTTGAGTACCTAATTGCCATTATTGAGTGTTTCACAGCTTGTGAGACTCAATATGATTGAAAAGTGTTGCTAAAGTGGAGAACTGGGAACTAGCTAAAGAGCCAAAGTGTTTAGCTTTCTTTTTTCTTCTCCCACACTAGCCACAAAATGAGTGAAGTTTCACATGGGTTTAGCATGACAGAAAAGTATTTTAACAGTATTTGGGAGGAGCTGAGAAAATAATGGCTGCCACATTCAGTCTATTACTTTATGATGCTTACAAATAACTGCTAAAATTGAGTTATAGCCTTATTTGATTACCTAATTACCATTATCCAGTGTTTCTCAGCTTGTATAACGGTAATATTATTCTATATTTCTACCACACGTATTTTTGTGGGGAAATAATAAAAAGGAAAACTATTACTTAGCAGTGAGTTCAGTTTATAAGTATGTATTATTTCAATGTTTCATAAATAACAGTTTCATTTCTGGACCCTAGATAGCAACACTAATTATTCTTACAGATCTTAGTACATTTTGCTGATGTATGAGTTTAAAAACACCAGTTTCTTAATTATCAAAACAATACATTATATGGAAGCCTACTTTTCTTCAAGTTGTCAGTGGTGCTAAGCCTGGCAGCCATGTGTGTTATCACACTTCATGTCCTGGAATGTGTATGGTGTCTTCCCAATTAATCGGCATGACCTTATCATGTGGTAGAGTTGATTGTGTGCACATACAGTGAGTTTTTGGTGAAGTTGAAGGCATGGGTTCTGTAAATATCCCCTTAATGTTGGTTCAGTGCTCCAGGGTGTTTGTACCATCCTGGAGGAACCATTCCAGCTTCACTGGCCTCTAATGTAATCCAAAATTAGAAACAAATAACAAAACTGATATGATATGAACAATATATATATATATTACCATTGAATTATAAAAATAAAATAAATGTTCACTTATCAACCTACTTCAATGAAATTGTTTTTAAAAAAATGAGAACAAATAATAAAAAAATTAGCAAAAATTAAGTATGATGTAGGGATAACAATGCCAAAATGTACAGAAACAAGGTAGGGATGAATACACAAACCATACAAAAATACCTCCATAAGTAGTCAGTAAGTACCGAGTCAATCTTACAGGCTTATGGTTATCAGCCATTGTAAGACTGTATAGCACTATTCAGTTTAAAAGCTTTTATTCAAACCTGAATTCATGTAACTGACAGTATTCAACATTTAGTTGTAGACTAAGGACTGAGCTATTCACAGTGTCTGTAACCAGGTGCACGAGTCATAAGATTTTATCAGTTTGCATGTCTTACACGATATATCCTTGAACTTCCTTATTTCTTTAAGTATTTCTCACATACTGTATGACTTGACATTTTGTCCCTGCCACACTGCGTGTACATGGTCTGCCAACCCCCTTTGATATACAGGACTTTTGAGCAGTCTTCACATTCCACTGTCCTTTGCGACACTTTGTTAAGCATTCAGGAAGTCTCTTTTTTTTCACTGAACATTTTTGTACTACCTTCTGTATTGGGAAAGAGTATTCCGTACTTGAAATGGATGTGGTCTCCCATTGAGTGATGCTCCAGTTCACCTCTGTACAGAACCATCCACCCTACCTCCCCACTTCCAATGTGTCTCTTGATATTTTGGCATATAAAATGTGCTCATGGGAGTACTGCACATGGTGGATGTGTCACTCTCCTACTGGTAGAAGGGTATAGTCTAATGCTGATTGCACCATAGTTTGGCACTGTGCATGTTATTATTTATAGGGGTGGGAGATTGTTCAAATGCTTAGCACATTTACAAAAGGTTTTTGACCGTGAGCATTTTGTGGAAAGGTATGTATTTGAAATGCATTTTTAGGAAAATGTTAGCATTTATATAACAAATAAATTTCAAGGTTTGTGAAAAAATAAACATGAGTAAGTGACAAACAAATGTAAGAGAGAAGTAATCATGTAGTTAGTGGTTTAGGCCAATTAAATTTAGTGGGACTTACAATGACCACAATTATTATTTTCTCACAGCAATTAATGACAATTCTTCGTACTCAAACCTGATCTAGAAGTTAATAGAAATTGCTAATTTTATGTTTCATAACAAATGACAAAATATTCATGGTGGTTCGTTAAAGTGTGTATGAACGACTTTTTTGAGTTATGTTCTTGATTCTTTTGTAGATCTATATTAATGTTTATTTTTTCTTTAGCAAGATAAGTTTGTGATTTTTATAAATTCAGAATTGAGGAAAACAAAGACAATTGTATATTTTGCAAATATTTAATTTATTAATAGATAATTAATAATATAGTATATTGTGGTAATAAATGAAATATTTTTGAAATGTACAGTTTTCTTTGTTTTCCTCAATTCTGTAATTATAGAACTTCACTAAGTACCAGCTGTTTCAAGTATTAGTTATATATTGAGCTTTTTTAAGGAGGATTATAACTGTTGAAGCTAACTTGTGTTTAATGTTTGTAGTGAATAATGGTTGCTAAGCTATAAGATACATCAAATTTAAATATTATTATTTTTTCTCTTTGTTAGGAATGCCCAGATTTGTGGAGAAGGTTCCATGCTACAGTAAGTTTCACAGGAATATGTATGATACTCCCCCTTCCCCAATTATGCATCATGTATTTGATATGTGATACATATGTATAAGGAAGGAAAAGTAACTAATAGTAGTATATTTTTATAGAGTTAAAGTAATTGCAAATAGGTATTTACCTCTGAAATAATAAACACCTTTCCTCATTAAGTTGCTCTTGTGCTGTTAACAACCAGGTGTCTGTGATGTAGTGCATCAACTTACCCAAAGTTCTCCACTTTCCAACATTCCACATGATTTATTGCATCTTCATAAGGAGAATACATAAGCTATGCTCTCCTGATGTAATCCATATCTCTTTGTTGCATTTTTCTCAGCAGGGTACCTTGTAGACCTAGATGTCCTTTATATAATATATACTAGGGGATTAGGCAGCATGTATGTACCTTAGGAGGCATGCACATTCTCAGATGTGGTCACAGCTGATGATATAATAGGTGTTTAGGGTCAGAGAATTTAATAGGCCCAGGCAGACACAAGGATGGGCTCGACAACACTAGAACAATGCAATGGGAACACCAGATAAGGCTAGGAAATGATAAAAATTGTTAAGATGTTTCCTATCTTAGGTGGAGCTGTGAAACCTCACATAGAAAACTGTTGTCTTGACTCAAGTGCTACCCAAAGATATGCAGGTGCAAAGGACAGGTATCTGCCGAGGCATCGTAAGCTACTGGATTATATATGTTGTTCTTCTACAGAGGGCATCATTGTATCAAGGAACACCAGTGCAGAGGTTGGGTTTTGTGTAGAGGTATATTTAATGTGCAAGAATCATGAGTAAACAGTCTTTCAAACACAGAGCTTCATATTTGTCCATGTGCTGGCATGCAGAATATTCTCTAAAGGATACTGTGACTGGTATTGCCAAATGGCAAATCTGATGAAATGTAACCTGAAAGTCACTTTCGAGGTATTTTGAGGTATCATGGTGAACAAGATGGATCAATTGCATAATCCACTTTTTTTAACCCTCTTGCGTGGGCAGGTTAGTGTTCATGTGATAACCTTTTACAGCATTACATTCAAAGTTTAATTAAACAACTTTATTATAAATGTATAAGAATAAATTTGACATGAAAATGTAGTTCATAAATAAAAGTTTAATATTATACAAGTTTTAAGTCCTTAATTTTATAAGGAAATATTTCAAAATATCCTCAATCTCCCATAATATGAGAATTGTGACTTTGTTCTCTAGGTCTTCCCTAATTTATTTACACACCTGTCTCTGAAGTTTGGATTTTAACATCAATTACTCATTATAATATTGCTAAGGCAAAGTCTAATTTTTATAGCCTTCAATATTCTTTATTTATGGCAAACTAGAAAGTCTAACTCACTTGCCACAGCCACCTATCACATCCTTTCTTTCACATGATAATATTCTGTGTTCTTAGGTGCATTATTTAAGTAAGGAAAAATTATTTAGCGTACTATAGTCATCTTTATAAAAAACTAATTTTAGGCTTGAATTTCATCAGCAACTGACAGCACAAAAACAAGAGACCAAACGTAAGTACTATATTTCATGTTTTTATGTATATTTATTATTTATTGTTATAAAAGTAACTAAAATGTAAAAATTAGAAAGTTATTATTGAGAAGCAGGTCAGACCCTCGAAACTCCAATGTACATGGCTTTAAGTATGAAACCCAAAGAATGTTCATGACATCCCCATTGTCTTTGAAAATGAATGTCTGCCCTTTCCCAGTGGGTGGGATTACCTCCCACTCCCCAAGAATTCACCCTCCAAGTGGGGTCTAGATCCAAAATAGAAAACCTTGATAAAAATCATTTACAAATTTAGCTTGGGAGTCTCCTGATATGAGATTACCCATGATAGATATTTTGGGGGTGATACCCCTAGTCAGGAGCCCTCTAAAGGCAATCTAGATCTAACATAGGAAGCCCCAATTGAAAATGGTCTCAAACGAAGCATTTAGGTCCCCTGAATATAAAATGACCCATGACAACATTTTTGGTGGTGAGAACTCTCAGACAAGACACCCCGAATAGGCCACCAAATCTGGGTCTAGATCCAACATATGAGAAAACACTCAAAACCTACCAAGATAAAGTGTTAGGGTCCTGGAATTTGGAGTGACCTGTAACAGACATTTAAGAGAGTGGAAAGTGGTCAAACATACACCTTGTAATATCCATTCAGTTTAATTCCTAACAGGCTACAATGTATTTAGATATGAATGAAAAGTCTAAATATATGCATAATACTGGTATATTTTTGGTAAATTTTCAGATGAAGAAAAGTATTTTTAATCTTAACATGAAAATCACTTTGCACTCAAAGCAGCCAGCACTGTGATTGCATATATTCACAGACAAAACTTTAATAAAAAATATTTAATTTAAAAATCTGATTTTTTGTGTACCAAAAGATTTGCAATGTTTGCTGAAAGTTCGCCTAATTTTGTGAAAAATACACATACCATAAAAAAGTTATAGTATGGAAAATCTGAATGTTAGTTTGGGGTTACAAGGCCAGTGTAATCTACAGACTCCATGTGGAAAGAGTTAACGTATTTGCTGCAAATGCAAGGAGTATAATGTGTTTTAAGGTAAAATAACCTTTTCTAAGATCCCTTGAAAGATTCAGTACATGTGAGATAACAGATAGCCATAGGAGGACATAAAAGACATTTCTCTGAGAATCAGGATCACTCTGCACAATAGTGAAAAACAGTTTTTACCCTTCTTCACAGCCAAAATTCTAGGTACAAATGCTCACTCTGGGTATAAGTATAAAGATTTCCAAGAAATTAAAATACAAGAAGTATTGGGGGTATGGATATCAGAACATCTTCTGCTTGATACAGGTAATACAAGAAAATATGATTTGAAGAAAAGATGATAGAGCAAATAAGTCATTACGGGTTCAAAAGGGAGAAATGCCAAGAAATGTAAAATTAAACCAAAGTTCCGTTTCAGACCATTTTTAAAAACATGGGTTCATTGAAGATAATAGGCACAGAAGAGATATTTGAATGATGGGGATGAAATAGACTGATGACTTCCTTTACCATGTGAAAGTGGAACTCAAGACTATGTAATAAAAGAAATGAAACAAATACACAAGGAAAGAAGCAACTTGTTAAGGAATTGTACATAAACAAGATATGTGTAATGCAATAATTCTGAAAGGTAGTCCAACAAGACTGGTAACAAGGAAAGGGTGTCAACAAGAATGGGCTAACATTGAAGCCATTCAGTAAAAAACCTGGCTTCTTGGACAAGAGACTGAACAACAGCCACAAATGAAGCCATAGATAGTGTTGTGAAAAATGGAGGATTCAGGTTGCTTTAGAAGAATTTTTTGGTGTTTATTCTACTAGTTCCCTGTAAGAAAGGAGGATGATGTTCTTCCAAGATTGACTTGGGGCAATCACTGCCAGATAATTTGGATTTGAAACTGGAAACCAGTAGAGTGTGAGAAAATGGTTGTCTGATGTAACAAATTCATTGATCATCAGACAACCCAGCATTTACATAGCCAATAAAAAACTAAAAAGTGGTGAGTCAATCTGTGGGGAAAAGCCACAAATCTTTAGTAACAGTAAGTCTGTCAAAAGAATTGCCATTCCAAAAATATGACAGGCTTGAGAGTGAATATGTTGAGAATGAAGCCAAATAACTTGAGAAACTGCAGCAAAGCAATGACTATAAATCTAGTACCATCCTGATAGTTGACGTAAGCCATCACTGTAGAATTGTCTTTGTGAATCATCACAGAATATTGTTGGAGAAGAGGTGGAAATTTGAGACTAGCACACTGAACACCTTAAAGTTCTAACATGTTGATTGAGCTGTTGATTCCTGAAGAGTTCAAGAATCAGAATGACTAATTCTCTAACATAGCACCCCACCTTGTAAGAGTAACATCTGTGAAAATATGATCTATGAGATGAGGAGGGAAAAAGAGATCCTGTTGTCCTAAACTCTTGGTTCCAACAAAATGATAGAAACTAAGAGTGATGGAAGAAGTAGTTATGCTACATGACAATGGGTCTGAAGTCAGACAGATGGAGAAACAGGGCCCCATTTGAAAGTGTTGCATGGAAGTACCCCTGAAGGGAATGATTTTGTCAAACCATTATCTTTTAAAACTGAAAGAATGTCTTTGGTGGTAAATATGGAAATCAGAAAAGTAGGTACACAAGACTGTAAAACTTGCAATGCTATAGGAGACTGTTGAACTGTGTTGATCCAGAACCCTAAATGTACCAAACACTATATTAGTATTAAATGGGATTTGGAGTTGTGTATGATCTAACCAAGAGATGTATCCTGCTAGGTGATCAACTTAGTAAGAGACTGAGTAGATGAAAGGATCAGAATAAGGCAGTTGTCTATGTAAAAGTGAAAGTCAATGTTGAGTGAATGGAGAAGACCAGTAAACAGTTTAACTACTTAACAGAAAATGTGGAACAGAAGCAAAGCTGAAAAGTAGAAAAATGAACTGATAAACTATTTGTAAATGGCAAAAATGAAGAAAATGATGGTATAATGGATGGATATAGATGCTAATATAAGAATCTTGCATATTTACCTGTGTCAAACAATGTCTATATAGAAGAAACTTTCATAACGACCTCACATTTTCCATTTTGAAATTATATATACTTCCAGGTAAGTTGAGACAGATCTCTAATCTCTTGATTTCTCCACAACTATAAAGAGATGGGAGTAAAAACCTAGAGAAGCATGATAAGCAACTGCTCCTTAAGGAGATCTGAAACTTCCTGATCAAGAACAATTGGATTGAAGGAGGGAAGAGAATAAAGAAGACATTGTGTGAACAGAAAGAGATGACAGAGAAAAATATAAGTAAAGTAACATAAGAGCCTTATGGTAATTCAAACTACATCAGTGAAAGTTGTAGATAAGGAAGAATGCAGTGTAGAAATTTTATCGTGATGAAAAGAATCAGGAGTATTAGAATAATTAATTGCTATTAAGTGTGCTAAAGCAAATTAGGGCTAGTTTACAAATTCTGCTCTGTAGACACTGAAGGCAAATAGGTGAGAAAAAGAGTGGTTTGTTCATCGTCATTAGAAAAAGATGTGGTCCACAATTTGAGCATCCACATAATTGTGAAACCTGCCAGCAGGCAATTCAGGATTAATGGTCTAAATATTTGTTGAACAATAAGGGCCGACAATGCAACCACAGGATGTTGATGCACATTAGAGACCAAATTGTATGAGTAAGGCATCAAAGAAGTTGTAGAATTTCTTATGTTGGTAGAAGCATTTACATTAATGTTGAATTCATAATGAATAAAATTAACAGCATGATTGTCCACAAGAAAATCTGAATTATGATGGGAAAGCAGAGCTTATGTATGTTCTGATGCAAATGCTGTAATTCACATGGAAGGTGGGAGAGTGGAGAACTCTTGAGTGAATTGATGCATGCTCTGCGTTGTATCAGGGACATTTAGAATCCAAAAGTCATACAGTTGCTGGCAGCATGAGAGCAACTCAACAAGAAAAGGCTTTTAGTATTTCAGAGGTAAGACTGTCTGGTGTAGCTTTTGTTCAGTTACTGAGCTTTGCTGAGATCCTGTTCTCACATAGTTTTTAAGATTTAATTATAGATGAAGGAAAATTAACACTATCAGTTCTTAAAAGTTAGGTCAATCTAATGTGTTAGATTACTATACCTTTATCATTAAGTACTATAAAGCTACTTTTAAAAATATGTTGTACTATCATTAAAACTGCTTTTAGCATGTGCCTACTATTCTCAATCTATCTCAGGATAAGATGTATACTTCAAGTTAATCTTCCTATTTCTCTAATTTACTTACTTTGGGCACTAGAAACTGTGATTAGCAACAGGGTTGTAAAGAATCATTGCATTTTTCTACTGTCAATCAAGGTCAGGAAGTGAAATGTTGCTTGTTAATCAACATTTGCAATTTGATGGCTCGTGATATTCATTATTGTTACCTCATGTTCTGAAACTTTATACAACTGTGCTTAATAAAATTATGATCTAAGGACAGATGCAAGGATGCGAGTCTCTTTAAATTGATGTTTAAAAGGATCTGTGAGTAATGGGAGCAAGAAAAAGTTGGAAGGGAACAAAAACATCAAATAAAAAAAAATGAAGCAATTCACCTGAAATATAAACATTGGTAATACGTATATGCTTGCCTTAAGTGATAGATAATTAGTAATGAAGTTATTTCCAATCACAGAACTGAATTTAGTAGTTGCAATAATAAACAAGGCCGTTTAGCTTGAGTGCTTGTTTTACAAATGGAAGCATTTTGGGTCTAGATTTTTCTCTGCCTATCTGTTTTTGTTTCCAGATGCAGCAAGCCTACATCCCAGCTATTTGTTGTCAGTTTTGATAAGGATTACTTTTAAGTGTGGTGTACATTCAGTGACACGTGTGTTTGTGGGGACCTTATAAGAGCTAATTAGGTCCTGATGTATTGTAAGAAGAGTTAATTGTTAATTTCATAGTACATTTGTATATATTTTATAAGATAATAAGACTGTAAACATTCTTAGCAATAATTTTAACTTCAAATATACCTTGTACTGTACAAGAATTTGATTAATATTGCTACATGTTTGTCTTATCATGTAGAATTAATGAAAATTCATTGCCTTTTAAATAAAATTGTACGTGTAGTATTTGTTATTGGTTTTTACATTACTACTCTAGACTACTACTACTACTATCACAAATTAACTTGTTGAAAAAAAATGCTTCCTTTCATGTATATGTATAGAATGAGTTTTATTGAAAGTTGATTGATAATTTGTTTTGTTTTTTTTTGCAAACACAGATTGTACCAGGTACTCCAGTTAAAGGCACTTGTAAAACAAAGAATAGAAAAAATGTGTATTGTTACAACTGTGCAAAAAAAGGACATTATGGGCATGTAAGTTTTGCTTTGGTTATATATTTACAAGCTGAGGCACCCATCCTATGTCTGGGTGCATAAGGGTTGAATGTAGGGTTTGAACTAAAATTAAATCAAGAACTTGTATTTATATGCATAATTTATTTCACACATAATTTACTTTATTTCACTCCTACTTTATTCTACATTACAGAAATGGTGTTACAGTTACTTTATTACTTTTACTAAACTCTCTCTACAGCCAAAGTGTTTCTTGATACTCTGAATGTTTCTTGATAAACCACATTGGCCAAAATATAGAGATTTCTTCCTACTCTTGAATATCCAATGGAGAATTGACCATGTGAAAAGCAAGGGGTTTTCAGATGTAGCACTGCTACTTTAAAGGTCTGATATCTTGCTTTTGTTGCCATTTTTTTGGCATAAACGTGAATGTTTGATTTTTTTTTATCAAAAAACCTCAAAATTTTCCAAGAAAAACTAAAATCAAAAAACAAAACAAAAAATTTTAAGAATAAAAGTTGGTCCAAGACATTTGAGTCATTAGCTAAACTAATATCTTGTTGCTATACAGGCATTGCCCAGATATGGTGGGGCTGGGTAATAACCGCTCTATGACATGGCCCTTGGTCCAAAATATCTTACCATGTTTGGTTGAGATTGGTGTAAAGAGAACAGGGTAATTCACAGATAAACAAAGAAATTTTTACTCTTTTAAGTTTAGATAAAAAGTATTTTTCTTCTGCATTTATATTTTGGGTTACACTCTTTCAAGTGGTTTATGTGAAATAGTGTTTACTGCAAAATTTTTATACACACAAAAGTTTAGAGGTATATTTTAATTTTAGGATATTATATTTGTGGCTGTTGTGTTTGCTTGTACAGGGTTAGTTCATGTTTAGTTGTGAAGTAACAAACCAAGGATATAAAACTAGGGCAGTAAGTACCGGTTCTCCAAAAACGTGTGTGAAAGGCTAGGAGCAAGTATAATTTTATTTGTACATTTTATAAATAAATAAACGAATTTAAAGAAAAGGCTTCCAACGTATAATATGTAGGCATTATTTACTGTTATTTTAGGAATTACATCCCTGTAGAAAAGTTATGAGGTTGATGAAACACTTGAAAGTGCTTGCTGTTTTGGTCCAACTTTCTTGTTTTTTTTATAACATTTGGGGAACACTAACCACATGAATAAACTCATGACAAACTTGAAAACTTTAGTTTTATGAAAGCTATCACTACTGCTGATGTGTTTGCCATTTTTTTAGTTAAATATTTCAATATTAAGATAAAAACTGGGTTAACCAAACAAGCACTATGGCAGTGAAGTAATAAAATCTCATCCTCTGTGCTAAATACCATGAATGAAAAGTTTGGAAATGGAAGAACTTGCTACAGTCATAGGAAAGTCATAACTGAAGTTGAAAAATACAGTTATTAAGCTTAAACAACTACTAAAAAGATCAGCTTTTATTTATTTTTGCAGCTAGGTGGATATTTTGAAATTGCTCTGTCAAATTTTGATGGGAAACCTTTTGGAAATAGCAGATTATTGAAGACAAAATCTCATAGGAAGTGAGATTTGGCCATAAAGAGCTAATTTCTTCTATGCTTAGGACTTACTCATCTAAACAATAAAATTAAATTGTGAAGGTGATTTATGATACAGTGTTTAACAAATATACATTAGGTAGTTTAAACAAATGCCAAATGCAAATAGAACGAAGTTTTAATGTTTATCTGCAATAGGATATTAGTAACAGCAATTTCTGTTTATACTTGTTGTACAGTTTATGCTTGCTATGTTTAGGAAGTAATCAAGAAAGTCAGCAACATAAACACACGTTTATAAATACCAATGTCTATCAATTTTTTGTGTTTTTTTTCTTTCTTTTGGGAGAAAAAGTTCATAGGCTTAACATGAAATATTCAACAACATTAGGTATATATATACATGTATACAGTATCTAACTTGTTATTCTGTTATTTGAACTTGCAATAAATTGCTTTCAGATTGTCTTATTCTAACAATGTCATATCAGGAACAAAATCAAAGTACTTTATTTGACTAAGTTAAAGTTTTAGAGATTAGTCAGCATGTTCATGTAGAATAACTGGATAAATAATTATATGCAAATGTGCATTGTATATGTAAAATTAAAGTTTTATAATTTGTTTACTCTTTTTGTTAACTAGTTTTAGTTCATTTTTGTAATGTTTCTGTATTGTATAGCTGGACCTCATAAAATGAGATAATGTGTTTGAGGACATATTATTAGTTAGTAGTAAAGATGCTGTAGATACTTCAAAAAAATAGTAATTGGTTTAGAATTGTATCTAGCAAAAAATAAATTTGCAGTATTTAGTACCTTGCTAATTAGGTTATCTTAATAAAACTAATTTTATATATTGGTTCATGGTGACTCTTGATGCTTTTATAGCAAAGCACATATGACATGGACATTTTGCATAACCAACACTGTTTGTTTTTTAATTAAGTTTTGAAATTTTTCTTTGAGGTGTACATCCTTATACTTTGTGTAATACTTTCATTTACTTTACAAATTTTGGAAATAACACTAAAGTAAAGCCATATAATAATCATTGCTAAATGTCGTATTATATTTGTAATTCAGTACTCTCAGATTATGATCAACTTTTTAATCATCTTCCCCATTAGAGTTCTGGAAGTTAGGTTTTTTTGTATGACAAGTTCATAGAATCTCTGAATGGTTGTAGCTTTTACATCTGAGTGAATGTAAACAAATATCTTTACTTCATATTAGTCGTACATTTCTTCTAAGGTATTAAAATATTTTATAAGCTTTAAGTTGTTTTGCTTTGCTGAAATATATCCAGTTTAGTACAGAAAGTGTTTGATTTGGTAAATTAAGTTTAATATTTTTATTTGATAAGTGTAATTAACATATTTCTATTTCTACCTGAGCAGGAATGCCAACAACAGCGTTTTGATCCACACAATTTCCCTACATGGCCTTTTGTTATCAGTTATTTGGATCCAAGTGTGTCACTGACTACTGAATCGAAAAAGAAAAATGGAAAGAATGGTAATGAAATATAATTTAAACTAATAACGTAGAGATGTACTATTTCATAGAATTATAATATAGGTTTTGAAATTAAGAAAATTGGAGTGACAAGTGGCAGTTGGCAACAAATTAACCAAAAAATTGAAGCAGGAAAAATATTTTTTTCAGTTTTCTTTACGTATTTGAATTTTGAACTAGTTTCTCATTTTTACTTTTGTATTTCCTTTAAATCAAGATGTTCTTTCCTAGCTTAGTTTAATTCCAGGCCTTCCAATAATTTGATTAGTAAAAATACGAATGAAATAGGAACACTACTACGGTTTAGTTTTACATGGTTTTACTTTGATTTCATCACAGTATAATTCTTAAAACATATATATATGTTTTACTTACTTTGTAACACATTGCTTTTATACATTTTTTGTTTTATCTCTTGGGCAGAGTGTGACCCATTGATTAGTGTGCCAGACTGTAGAGTTAAGTTTCTGTGGCTCATGTCATGTTGCTGCCAAAGAAAAGAAATTCATGCTCTGCACTTTGAGACCATGTGTGTATTATAAGCATGACTGTCAAACCCACTATTCATTCTGGCAAAAGCAGCTTCCATTCTTCTAGTCCATCACTTCAAAATTAGGAATGACTACTGCAAATATCCCTTGTGTAGCTTTGCATGAAATTCAGCAAACTAACTAATGTTTCAACTCAGCAATGTATCCATGATTGTCAGTGCAAAATAATGTTTAATTAACATTAAAGTTTTGGTAATGTGATGAGGGCTGGAATAAAAAATGTCACCTGAGGTAAAGTAAATTCCTCACTGGCTCTTATTATTCTTTGTTCTTGGTAGTCAAGTTTCTTTATCAGCTGCACATTTTTGGAAAGTATCATGAAGGCTTCACTTAACAGTAATGAAGCCAGAAAAAGGTGTGGAAAATATTACCCCTCAGTTTTCCTTGCAGGAAATATAAGCCTTATTATATATATCGTTACATATCTTTATTGTTCTCTGTTTCTGTAGGCTGATATCATAAATCTTGACATATTGGCACAAGATTTTTTCACTTTATGACTGACAGGCAAGAGTCATAGGGATCATAATATGTTGGCATGCTGTAAAGAAACTTAGAAAATATGTGGTAATGCTTTTTACCTCAAAACAAACTAGGGATAATAAGGCTATTGTTTAGAAAGAAAAGCTGCCATATTCATATTCATTATTTTTTAGTTAGCACTTGCTTCTAGGCCTACTCTCAGAGTTTTGTTAGTTATCTTGATATATATCACTTTACAAGTTAGATATTCAATTTTCAAAATGTATTTGATATAAATTTCAGTTTTCTTTGGCATTCACTTCTTTTTCTGTGATAAAAAAAGAAGCAAATTTCTTGTATAAGTGTAAATTTGTGGACTCTGCTTTTTATATTAAACTTGTTATGTCTAAACAGTGATATACAGTTGTAGATGTAAAGCAATGAATGTCATAGAAACTCCACAAAAGCTTGTTATCCTGCTGAAAATAGTAGTTATAGGCTGTGACTACCATCTAAGAAATGTGGGGTTCTGGGGTGCATTATATACATATCTTGGTAACTACACCTGTGTTGGGATAAAGGGAAAAACGATTAGTTTATGCCATAAATTCTACTACACAAATCACATATACAAAGAGATATCATGTTTATAGGCCCTTTGCAACAATGCAGAAAAAGGGTCAACTCTGTAAATAATACAAGCTTCAATTCTTCATAATGAGATCAAAATGAAATAAATGTTTTGTGTCTTACAGATGACGGAAATTATGAAATGTATTTGAAACGACTAGAAAAGAAAAAAGAAAGCATTATAAAAAGGTCTAAGAGATCATTCCTACGTTACATTCAAAAGAAAAGGAATCAAGTTACTAATAATGGAGTGAAAAGAGGCCTGGAACCAGTAAGATACAACATTAAAAATGAAAATAACAGGCGTGGAAAAAATTCTACCAGAGTAGATAAATTTAATGGTAAAGTAGAATCTACTTTTCCTAGGACTCCTATTTCAAGATTGAAACAGCAAGAAAAGATGTCATCAGAACTTGCCAGTTTGCTAGAACTTCACAAGGAAATTGTTAAAAACAAGAAGAATAAGAAGAAGAAAAAACAGCAGATGAAGCTCAAAAGAAAGAAAAAAATGCAGAACGAAAATTGTGAATAATGTATTTGATCATTGTTCATTATAGAAAAGGTTTTGTTTTACAAGTTTAAGCCACTGTATGTATGTAACTAAATTTATTCAGGTATTATCAACATGAATCGGTCACTATAGTGATTTAGTTTAGTTTCTTATACATACTCACATAACTCTACCTTAATTTTCTATGATTTTCAGTCATCATGGTATAGTTATTTTGAAACTGTTATGACTTGCTGAAAAGCCATCAATTGTAGATGAAATTTTCAAGTATTTTTCCCTTAGTATTTCATATAATGTTCAACAGCTATACACAGAGTAAAAGAAACTTAGCATCTGATACTTAAAATGGTGCTGGAGAAGAATTTCAGCTTTTATTTGACATTGAAACAATTTACATAAAATATTCACTTTAAATATACTTTTAATGAGGCAATTAATATTTTACAAATGCTCCTTATATCTAGTAAAATAACAATATATATATAAACTATAATTCCAAAATATGAAATATTCCTGTTTCCTTAAATTCATAAAAATTAGTATTCCAACCTTAAAACTTTTCCTTGCAATAAGTCAGGATTTTTTTTTTTTTGGGTTCTTACAAATATATGATAAATACTGTTTCTGGTTATCAACGTATGTGTTATTTTGTAGGATATAAGAAAGGCTGAATATTTAAAATGCTTAAGAATCTATTATCAAAGTATCGGACACAGACACTAAATTGTCAGTATATTTCCTACTTCAAATGATATGTGACCATTACCCTCAACAGACAATGCCATTTTCCTGATAATAAAAGCAGTTTGCTAGCTGTGCCACTAACAATCTCAGGCCTTGGCTTGTGAATGATCAAGTTGTATATTTGCATGTTTTGTTCATCACTGGCCCCTTGCTAAGATCTTATTCACATTCTCCCTAGGTATGTTCAAGTACACTTGACTTAGGTTAGCCTGCATTAACAATTTTCTTGTATAGCCTTGTTGACAGCAAGGACAGGTAAATTTGTAAGCTATAAATACAAAATGGTGTACTGTGAAACTGGTTTAATAAAACCTCTAAAGCATTCATTCTTATCTTTGTGTGTATAAATATTCCTCCCTAAAGGCCCCTGATTATTATAATTTTGTGTTTGTTGATTAGTGGAAAAGTTACAAAATTGGATTGAGTGATGGACCAAATATGGATTTTTACAGTTTAATGTGGATTCAGTACCCTTCAAAATCCGTATAGTGATTTGGGCTTTGAGTGGTGAAACATGTAACACAATTTATAGATATATAGCAAAGAAGAAAATATATTGTTACATTTTTGTACTGGTAGAATCTCCATTTATTCTTGTAATGAATTACAATTACCCAGCAAATATTTTCAAAGACCCATCTTTAATTTACTCAGTGAAAGTTTTTATCAAAAGAAGATTAAATAAACTTTAATTTGTTCTATATTACTACATTTTTTTCTGGATGGAAATGAAGTCTTGTAATCCACAGGAAGTGGCAGAAAATTTATACTTTTTCTGGTTCTTAAATGAATGGAATGAACTATAAACTTTTAAAAAATGAAACTAATTACAAACTTCACTGTTGTTTGCGGCTTTACAATAGGATTTAGATAATTGGTGAGTTAGCACGTGGCTTTTCATTATAATAAATGCAAAGTAATGCATGTGGGTTATCATAATTCAAATTATAAGTATAATTTTTATGGGAACAACTTTTAACAGTGTTGTGGAAGAAAAGGATCTGTGTCATCCAACCAGTGTGCTGTTGCTAATGGTAGGGAAAATAAGATTTGGAGTTGTATTTACAGAAATATTATAGATAAGTTTACAGAAATATTTCATTTTATAAATCACTGGTTAGGACTCATTTGAAGTTTTATTTTCAGTTTTTGTCTCCTTACCTTAGAACATTGAAATATTGTAAAGGATTCAGGTTAAGATTTCTGAAATTTTCTTTATAAAAAGGAAAGGTTTTGGTATCATATTGTAGCCAATTATCTTTTTTTTTTGTATTTAATGGTGAACATGGAAAGACAAGGGAAAACAAATTTTGGCAAGCTAGAATTCATCTTCAGCTTACAGTTTTGTATATCTAACAGGATAGTTGGCCTTTATAGTGGTAGATGCAGTAACTGTAAATGAAGGCTTAAATTATTAGGGCTGGATTTTTTATTTTTTTTTAAAGAGGATTGGACAGTTTCAATAAATCAGTAGGCCTTTTATCCTTAAATGCTATTTGGTGATTTTAGGTATCTGTAAGTTTTTTCAACTGAATTTTTTAGTATTATTATTATTTTTGATAAAAACTGATGATATAAAAAAACATGACATTGTTGGAAATAAATAAAAGTTTCACTGTAAATCATACAGATATGTTTATGTACCCAACTTTGATAAGTACCTCTAAATGATAATCTCGCATTTCTTTAATGTTAAAGATTAAATTAGTTCTTCAAAAGTGCAGAATTGAGATATTGTAAAGATCAGTTAACTATTTATTAGAGTTATCTTTGAAATTATCATATACACATTCATATCCTCTTTCAACCAGAGCAACAGCATTTTTTACAATAACTTTTTCTAAGTGGTTTTAAGCTCAACCTACTTACTGCTTATAGTGCTATTAGTTGTGGGCTAAACATGGCTAATGATAAATAGCCTTCAGTGGAAGAATTAAAAACATGTAAAATTTCAGTTGATAATAATGAAATATATTAAGACTAAAATGACATAGATAAAACAGAAAATGAAGAAATATCTTCAAAGCTTTCTTAAATATGTCATTGATTTTTGTTAATGCTTTGTAAATTTAGGTACCAGATGGTATATACAGATAGTTTGATTTTATGTTTTGACTTGCATTAGTGAATTGAAGTGTTGGTTAAGTAATAACTGATACAAATTTACAAGCATGTTAGACTATTAATTAGCTTACTTCCTTTAAATTTTGTTACAACATGGTATTTTAACGTTTAACATAGAGAAAATTGGCAAGTAAAATTTGGTTCTGTGGTGAAAGGTTTCTAACTAGTTTGCAGGTAGATGGCATGATATGGTTAGCTCTAACATATGTCAGAGATGTTTCGACATATCAAACTGTACCAGTAATGTAGCTCAGTTTGGTATAGATAAGTGTTCTAGTACAAGCTCTAGCTTTTGAATCAGTGTCCTTTCCTTACGTGACTCTAGGTTGGGATAGATTTATCCTTGAAAAACAAACAAAATTAGTAGAAAATTTTTAATATAAAGAACTGTGTGGATTATTTCAGTGTAATGAGCACCAAGAGTATGGATTTTTTTCTTGCTTTCACATGTTTATTTATTATAAGTTTCTTTTTTCTCACCAAAATGTGAGTTTCAATGAAGAAACAATGTAGAAGCCTAATCTGTTCGTTGATTCTCTACTTCTGCTGTTGCAGACTAGTTTAGCTGAATTCACAGCTCAATACTGTTTTAAAGAGCAAAACAAATAAGCAAATTAGGCCTAGTATAGTGGTGGAATGCAAGCAGTATAGTCAGTTTTTTACTCACCATTAATATCCTAAAATATTTGTGATGGTATGTCATGTTATCCAAACACCTAAGTGTATTGTGTTGTTAGTGGTGAATTAAGTTCTATAAATGAAAACCAAACACATTCACGTATTAATATTATGTAAAAAAAAAAGAAATTAATGATTTGAGTTAGGGGCTTGATACAGGATACCTGGCTAACACCAGAGAACTGAGCTAACAAAGTAGAAGTTCCAAGCAAGTATCTCCAATCAAACTGTGTTCATCCTTGAAATATGACACAAGACAACCTTACACTACATCATTTGCCAAGTGAAACATATACACAGGTGATTTGATTTATCTTCTGCTTAACTCTAATTACCCTTTGGTAGGATAATCATAATGTTTGTCTAACTGAGGCATAAGCCTTATACTTAACTCGCACTAATGCTTCAAGGACAATTTTAATGGCTGTATAAAATTTGAGTAAACTACACTCCATGAATAATTATACACACACACACACACACATATATATATATATATATATATATATATATATAACACCATTTTATCTAAGATTACAAAGTATTTCTTATTTAGATCTATACATGATGTTTTTCTATGATAGAATCTTATACAACTGCAGATATATCTTCAGGTTTCAACTCTCTGATAGTTTGTGCTCCAATCTTTTGGTATAATTGTGGATTTTTATCTAGCTATGTACTACTACAACTGAAACTAGTTTTAGAAATATCATTTACAAAATATTGTGCCAAATTACCAAAGATCTTTTTATTACCTGGTATGTTATGATTACATCTGTACTTTTTTAAATGTGTTTTTCTTATGTAGCTATGGTCATATTAATTTATGTTACTAATGTTAGATTTCTCATCTTCATCTTTGGTAAAGGTTTCTTAATGTTAAGTCAGTAGGAGTTACTTGTATGGCTTTGGAAGTGAATTTGTAGTCAAAAAGAGACTCGCAATGTTTAATCCTTTTGGCAATTATGAAGTTACCAGTATGAGGTTATGGAGGAATTATTTGTATGATCCTTTAAAATACAGAACTTGAGGAATTATAATTTAGCCTGGATGAATACTTTAAGTGTTCATTTCATAATTATGGTGGTTTCTGAACGTGCAAATCTGACAAGACATAATATAGTTCTGTTGCTGCAACTTCCAGTTATGGATTTACTTATTGTCAACATTACTTAATAGAAATTTGTGGTAGAATTTAGAGTTACATCTGCTGGTTGTTTATAATTGGTTGGGCTTAGTTGTTCTTTAATTTGAAGGCTTGAAATATTTTCCAGTAATCATTGTTCAGAAATAAAATGGCACTGTCGACTAAAAAGTTGTTGGTTTACATTTATTAAGGCCTTTATCAGCCTATATGGAAATTCTTAACTCTGTTTAAAGTATTCTGATTATTTAGAGAAATGAGATGGCTAAAAGTAAGATGAAAGTTTATACAGCACACAACATCCTAAACAGGAGGGAGAACAATATCCTGTTCATATGAACCACTGTTAGTACAATACACGAGCAGCAAAACAGTTGATGTTTACAACAACTTCAAGAGTATCATGTTCTAGTTGGTTTG